CTCCAGAGGCCTTCTCCAGAGGCCTTCTCCAGAGGGCCCCAGGGTGCCTTCAGCGGGGGCGGGGGTGCAGCCCTGTCCTGCTCCTCTTGGGGCCCTGTGCGGTGTGGAGGTCCCCTGAGCCTCTGCCCATCCAGGCCTCCACTGCCCACCTCGGGAGCTGCCTCCACAGCCCGCATCACGCTTCCTTCTCGCACGGACTTCACAAGCACGGGGGCTCCCTGACCAGCTGGGTTCTGCATGCCCGGGAGGGGCAGGTGGGGCTCCTGGGGTCCTGCCAGGGACCACTTCCCTTTTCTGTGAAGCTTTGGCACCAAAGCCATGCCAAGGTTTCGTTTCGGGGGACTGCACTGGAGAAAAGAAACTTAAGACTCCAACAGCCACAGAGTTGTTCTGGATCTGAGTCCGGCCTCGCTCTTCCCAGAAGCCGGGGGTCTCAGGCCAGTGGGCAAGGGGCCTGGACGCCGCACCACCACTTTGTGGGCACAGCCAGCATCCACCCGCGCCTCAAGGGCCTGGCCAGGAGCAAACCAATCGAAGCTCAGACTGCAGACAGGGCGCAGCGTACTGCTCCAGGATGGAAGGAGCCAGAGGGGCCAAGATGGGACCTGCATTCGGTTCAAGACTTTGGTTCTTTCCACGATGATTTCTGGATTCCGTGCAACCCCAAGGGGCGTCCCTGAAGGATGGACGCTGTGCAGAGCTCGACCAAGTGGCTCTAAAGGAGCCTTGATAGTAAATGGACCCAAGATATTAAAAGATGAGTGGGTTGGGCACCAGCCAGCAAAGGACAGTGGGAACCACGGGGCCGGGCAGAACTGGCAGCCCAGTCTGAGTGGACAGGCCAGCATTTCAGGGGCCACCGTCCCCTCTGCGCCAGCCCCAAGCCGTCCACACGGCCACCATCCCAGCCTCAGGGGGGTGGGTCCTGCCCATGGCAACAGACCCCCAAGAGGCCCCAGGTCAGAGGACACCCTTCTCCTGGCCCCCCAACCCCAGGCTCCTCGGCAGCGCTGGTCTGATGAGTGGATGAGACCCTTCCCCGGAGGGTACCAGGGACTGCAAAGTGCTGTCCACTCAGGGGTGAGGGGCCCGTGGCAGCTCCCTAGCCCCTCACCCTCTGTAGATCCCCAGCACCTAGAAGTGGGACCGTGGCAGATGGGGGTGGGGAGTCAGAGACCGGCCCACCCCAGGCTCCACAGGTCCCAGGCCCAAGTGAGCACCCTGCCCTGGGGCTTGCATAGGCTCACTGGTCCCTGGCCCCTGATGGGGGGTGCTGTAGCCCTGGAGGCTGCCCTCCAGGGTGGGAGGGGCTCAGGATTGGGGGGGGGGCTTGAGCGCCCCCAACCCACTCCCACCCAGGAGCCAGAAGGCCCTGTGTGGACTGCGGGGGCTGGGGCGAGGGCAGGCCCCAGGGTGCAGGTCGGCCCCTCGGATCCTGACCGAGCTCCAGCTTTGTGTCTCGGAGCCGGGGGTGGGAGCACCCAGATGCAGAGTGGACAGCCTGGGCGTCAGGCGGCAGGGGTGGGACAGGGCAGGGCCTCCCAGCTGCAGCTCTGGGCTTCTGTCTGTGTCTCAGACCTGGGGCTCTGCCCATGGTGGATTCTCTGAAATCTACTCTAGGGGTGCCCCTGCAGCCAGGAAAGCTCCCCCACAGGTGCTGCATCCTCTGCCTCTTCTGTGGCCTGTGCCCTGCACCCACCGCTGGGGCCCCGGATGCAGCCCCCGGTGTAGGCCTCCACCCCAACGGGAGTCTCCAGCCTGGCTCTCAGCCACTTGCTGACATGTGATGGTGCCACAGTGGGGGCCAGAGTCATACTCCAGCACCTATACAAGGTCCCGGACACTCAGGTCTCAGTTTCCACAAGCACGACCTGGCTGAGAGCCCTTGCCTGCGATGCCCCAGGACTGGGCAGGCCGCAGTGTCCCATGGCCCTGGGTGCTCGGGGGCGCCCAGGCTGATGCAGTCAGCATGGAAACAGAGGGGTGCAGGGCTAGGCTGAGGGAATGGGAGGTGGCCAAGCTGTCACCCTGCCATCCCCCATCCCCCCATCTTCTCCCTCTTGCCCTGGGGGGGCAGGCTCCATGGGGCGGGCCCTCCACCCAGGCTCATAGGTACCGGCCCCCCACCTCCTGCCTGACGTGGGGCCCGCCCCCTGGCCCCAGCCCGCATCCACCTGCCCGACTGCCCTGACACACACAGACCTGGGCTTCCTCTCAGCAGCATCCACCAGATCCGGGGCAGGAGAAGCCCTGGGGCCATGGCATCCGCATCCCACGAACCCATCGGTGGCCACCACCCAGGGCTGCCCACCCACGGCCAGCCTGAGCCTGCCCCACCTTCATGGCATCACCGGACAGACAGGGATCCCAGGGCTGAGGAGCCTCCGAGGATGCCAGCATTTCCCACGCTCAGCACAGTGCTGTGCCCTCCGTCCCAGGAACGAACTCAGGGACACTCAGGCCTCGTGCTTGGGTGGGTGGTAGCCTCTGCACGTGTGGTGGAGGACAGAGCGTCCCCTGGTGTGGGCGCTCCAGGGGCTCCAGCACTCCCTGCGCGGGGCGAGTCTCTCCCACTCACCTCCCGACTTTGCACGTGCACAGGCCTCTGACCCTGTACACTCCTGAGCACCGTCACTGCATCGTGCCAGGGACCGGCCCTCCTCAGGACGTCCAAGAGACCTGTGCCTTGCCCCCAAGCCACAAGCACTGGGCGCCTGAGGATGAGGTGTCTTGGCACTGCCCGGGGGCTTGACTCGGGTTCCCCCCAAAACATGAGCTCCATGAGTGACGGCTGGATGGATGTACAGATGAGGGTGGGTGAATGCAGGGGGAGGGGGCGGTGATAAGACCAGCCTGGCACCCTCAGCTGGCAAGTGGGGGAGCTGGGAATCACAGTGCCGTGTGAGTCACTGTCACCACAGGAGAGTGCGGAGGCCCAGATGCTGCAGGCACTATCCTCAAGTCTCCCTGCATGTCCCCCCGCCCCGGACTCCAGCCCACGTGGCCCAAGGCTGATGCCTGGGCTCCCTGTCCGAGGACGGGGGTGTGGGAGGAGCCAGAGCAGGCTGGCCAGGTCAGGGCGGCAGAACAGGTGGGCTGTCTCCCCAAACACCCTGAGTCATGAATCTGCCCGTGCTGGGGGGCCGCCCCCGGGGATCCCTCGGGAAAGGCTCCCCAGGCCCCAGGCAGGCCACAAACATCCACTGACTCCCTGCAGGGCCAAGACCAAGCCAGGAGCCCCCCCACCCCGCCCCGCCTGGAAAGGCTGGTCTCATTTCCTCCGGACTGCTCTTGTCTGCTGTCTTGGGATGTTCCTTCGACCAGCTCTGGTTCCCGGGGGCCTACTAGCGGGTACTGGGGCAGGCGAGGGTGTGCATGCTCCGTGGACGGGACACGTAGATGGCACCTGGGCTGTGGGACCAGTGACAGGTCTCTGGGGGCTCCGGGCTGTGTGCCCCGGGTCCTACTGCACCAAGACGGCCACTCCGCAGGCCCAACGGCTGCCTCACTTGCTCCAGCACCAGGAGCCGCCAAGCTGAGGGCCCCACGTAAGGGCCAGATGTCACCAGGCCATCCACTCAGCCTGCCCTTCATGCTGTGGTTGGGCCATGTTTCCACAGCTGGACCTGGCTGTGGCTTCCGCCCACGACCTTGCCCTTCAACTGTCAGGCCAAGGCCTGATCTCCCAGCACTTGCCCCCCACCCCGGCCCCACCCACCCCCGTTCTCTGTGCAAGGAATGCCTTCCGCCCCCTCCACCCGGCAAACTTCTACTCATCCTTCAGAACCCTTTCCAGCCATCTGTGGAACAGTGCGGACCCCTCTTCCTGTACACTTCTGCCTGAGGGGCCTGAGTGAAGGCCACCTCCTCTTCCCACCTCTGGCCGGGCATCTCCAGGAACAGAAGCCAAGGAGGTCCCCTTGGGGCCACCCCCAGACACAGCCTCCAGACTAGGGGTGGCATGTCCTTGGGGCCGTAGGGGTAGACAATGGGTTGGCAAGGAGGCCAAGCACCACAGGCCAGGCCCTCTGGCCGGGAGGGAAGAGCCTAGGTCCTGGTCACGCTGCTGTCTGCCCACAGGAGGCAGGGAGGGGGCTGCCCAGGGACCCCTTCTCCAAATCTCCTTTCACCAGACCACTCTATCCAATACACACAGAGTAACTGTTATATACAAAACAATTTAATTGAAATACCTGTATAAAAAATATGATCTCCAGACATCTCACTTTTGAACTGAAAGAAACCCCCATCCTCGATGCCTACGCACACCGGGATCACAGAAACACAGCTGCTACAATAAATTAAAGGCTTGAGACTCTGTCCCCCCACCCCCCGGCCTCCAGAGCCAACAAGCAGACTGTACAAGGTCAATAATTTAAAACCCACCCCCACCCCGCTCCCCCCGAGGCATAGAGCCACAGGGGGCGGAGTCTCCCTCGCCCCTTAAATTAGCCACTGTACAAGTCCATCTTCCGACAGACGCAGGTAGGATCAGGACCTGGGGTCCGCGCACACAGCCACGCCCCCCACTCCGGGGCCTGAAGAAGGCGGGGGCGCAGGCAGGAGGGAACCTCCACAAATAAATTAAACAATAAATAGCCCTCCTCAGGGTCAAAACCATAAATAGACGTGCGCTGGCGCGCACACCCCGCCTGCAGGCGTGCGCACAGGCAGGGAGCCCCGACGTTGCATTGCTTGTGCACAGACCTGCCCGGACGAACACGGGAGGCGGGCGGGCGCGGGGGGGTGGGGGGGTTGGGCACAAGGGAGCCTGAGCCCCCGGTGACATGAGGCCACAGGACATGCTCCTGGTCCAACACGGTCCGACGGGGGAGGCGCTGAGGGCCGGGACGGCTGCCTCCCAGAGCAGCGCAGGACAGGGACAGTCTCAGGGTCGCGCACCTGCCCGGCCCAGGCCGGACCTCACGTCGACCGGAGCGTCTTTGGACAGAGAGAGCTTGAGAAGACCAAGTCCCGTGAGAGCAGCGTTCGAAAAGGCACTCAAAGCAAAGAAAACAGCCCGGTGCCAAAGGCAAAGGTCACCGGGAGTCAGAGGTCACTGCTTTTGCAAGAGGCAGACAGCCCAGGCGGGATTGGTCCCTCCGGCTCCCACAAGCCAGGCCCGGGCTCCTCCTCACAAGCTCTCACTGCTGGACGTGGTACTGGCCCCGTCGTCCACATCCAGAGTGCAGAGCCGCAGGTCACAGCTCTCCGCAGGGCCCCCCTCGGCCCCGAGCATCCAGGGGTGTGCAGCGATCTGGTCCAGCGAGGGCCGCTCCGAGGGCCGCAGGGACAGACACCACTGAATGAGCTGCTGACACTCTGCGGAGAGGAGGGATAGGGGTCAGCTCCTTGGCTCCTAGGCCCCTTGGCTCCTAGGCCCCTCGGCACCCAGCACCAGCCCCCGCACCCACCACGCACCTGGGGAGACCCTCCTCCGGAAGAAAAGGCGGCCTCGGAGAATCTCTTCGTCCTGCTCAAAAGGAATGTCTCCACACACCATATCGTAGAGCAGCACGCCCAGAGACCAGACCGTGGCCGAGCGCCCGTGGTAGCGGTGGTAGCGGATCCACTCTGGGGGGCTGTACACCCGGGTGCCTGGGGGGACACACGGGCGTTAGGGCGTCCGCCCTACGGACCAGCACCGAGCCCCCCGCGCTCTCACTAGTCCTCTGGGAGGCCCGGGCCGGGGGCAGCAGCCGGTCTCCGGGCCTCGAGCAACGCACGTCATCACCCCGGAAAAACCCGGCGGGCGCGGCCTCCCCAGCTGGCCCGCCCGGCCGGGGGAGGGGCGGGTCACATGAGCGAGGGCTCGGGTTTCACAACAAACAGATGTGAGCTGAGGATGGGGGGGGGGGGGACACCGCAGGGGCGGGTAGCCCCGGCTTCCCCGCGCTCCGCAATGCGGGGATTTCTGCGGCGCCGCCCCCGCTCGGCACGCACGCAGCGTCCGCCCCACGCAGGGGGGAGGCCCGGGCGCTCCCAGCGCACCCCCGCGCCGCGGTCCCCATCGCCCCGCCCCCGCCCGCGGTCGCGCCCCAGCACCGCCGGCGGGGGCAGTCTCGAGCCGGCCCCTCGCCCCCACCCACTGCGAACCCGCTCCCCTCGCGCGCGGCCTCCAACAGTCACCAGCCCCTCCGGGCCTCCCCGCCGGGCAGCGGCGCACTCACCGTCGAAGTCGGTGTACACCGTGTCCTTGAGCAGCGCGCCCGAGCCGAAGTCGATGAGTTTCAGCTCGCCCGAGCGCAGATCCACCAGCAGGTTCTCGTCCTTGATGTCGCGGTGCACGACCCCGCAGCTGTGGCAGTGGCGCACGGCGGCCAGCACCTGAGCGAAGAAGCGGCGAGCCAGCGGCTCGTCCAGGGCGCCGCGCTCCGTGATGAAGTCGAAGAGATCCTGGGCCGGCTCGGGCCGCTCGAGCACCAGCAGGAAGCCGTCGGGCCGCTCGAACCAGTCCAGCAGGCGGATGACGCCGCGCGCGCCGCCCGCCGCGCCCACCTTGCGCAGCAGCACCACCTCGAGGGGCACGGCCGCGCCGCCCTGGGGGGACACGGCGATCGGTCAGCGCGCCCCCAGCCGCGGCGGCCCGCCCCCAGCGCCCGCCCCACGGTGCTCGCACTTACGATGCTGCCCCACTCGGTCACCCGCTCCTTCACCACGTGCTTCACGGCCACCTGGGGAAGGGGGGGGACACGGATGGTCAGGCCCGGCGGAGACGCGACGACGCGCGCGGTGGGCGAGAAACCCGGGTCCGCCCGGTGGCCCGACTCACCGGGAGCCCGTCGGCGATGCGACTGCCCGCGTAGACGGTGCCGAAGCCGCCGCTACCCAGCACGGCGCCCACCTGGTACACCTTCTCGAAGCTCTCCTTGTCCGCCTTGACTGTGGGGATCGCGCACGGGAGGGGTTGGTGCGGCCCGGCGCGCCCCAGCCCCCGGCCCGGGTCCCCCCGACCGCGGCCCCCGGCCCCTGCCCCCCGGCCCCGCGCGTACCTGGCTGCAGGATCTTCACCGGGAGGTGGTCCACGCCGCCCGGCCCGCAGAGGTGCGCCAGGGACCCGAACTTGGAGAGCAGCATCGCGGGCGGCAGCGGGGCGCGGGCCCGCGGCCCCCGGGCGGTCCGCCGCCTCTCACCCGGCTCGGCTCCCCGCGCGGCCGCAGACGCGAGAGGGCGGCCTCCCCGTGCCGCGCGGGGCCCCGAGCGTCGGACGGAGGCGGCCGCGGCGGCGAGGCGGGAGCGCCGAGACCCGCTCGGGCGAGGCAGTCCGCGCGGCGCAGTGGCCCCGGGCCGAGCCGCGCGTGGACCGCGTGCACGCGCAGCACAGAGGCGCTCACACGCCCCAGCCGACTCGCCCCGGGCTTTTGGGTCACGGCGTCCGTATCCCTCCGCGGGGGCGGGGCGAGAGGAATCCCGCCCCCTTCCGCCGCGCTCCGCGCAGCGGAGTCGCCCGCGGGAACGCGCGCGGGCGGCCGGGGCGACGGTTTGGCGGGGCCGGGCGCCGCCACCCCGGGTCGACGAGGGCCGGTGGGCCAGGGGTGCGTGGCGAGCCGCCTGGAACTAGCTCGCTGTAGTAGAGCCGCGGAGGCACACAGCGTGGCGCGACGGGACACGTCAGTCCTCCTCCGCGCGCACACACACACACAGCGCACGCGCAGATCCTGCGCGGGCGGTGGCCGAGGCGTGTGGGGCGGGGCCGTGGGAGCCAATGGTAGCCGGGGTTTCCAAAGGGCCCCGAAGCCCCAGCCAATGGCGGCGCGTGGGCGGGGCGGGGACTCGCAGGTCCCGCCCCAGGCTGTGCCGGGGAAGGTCACCCGCAGAACGCGTGCCCGCCTCCGCCGTTCCCGGAGCGGGCGTCTAGACAGCGCGGGCTGTCGCGAGCTGGGGGTCCCGAACAGGGGCGGGAGTCCTGGACACGACCCACTTGTGCCTCGGGCCGTGCGAGTGGGTCTCCGGCAGTCCGCTCACCCTCGCGCGCAGCTGGCCCAGCGCGGGGAGGCGGTGCCGCCCCCGCCCCCGCGGGGACCCCGCTCAGCGTTCGCGCTCGGGAACTCGCAGCCCCTGGTGTGGAATAAGTGCTGACCCAGCCCCGGGCGCCCCCTGCTCACCCCGGGCCGCCGTTCTGACCGGGGCTTGACCTCAAGCCCGCAGCCCAAGGTCCCTACCTGGCCACGCCTCCCCTCCTTGGAACCTTCGCCCTGCTGTCCCTGTACCTGGAGCACCCGTTCCCTGTTCACCCACCTGGCTGTTCTCCAGGCCCAGCGGCTGACCACCTTTACCAGGGGCTCCACCTTGACCACTGCAGTCAGGGCCAGAGACGGCCCAGGTCCACTTGGACCTCCAGTACTACACAGAATCACCTGTGTGATGTGGTCACCCCTTAGAGGTTGCTGACCTCGGCCCAAGGTCCCCAGCCTGAGCTGCTCAGCACTCGGTGTGAGCGGCTGTCTGCCAGCCACAGTAGCCCTAGAAGAGCCTTCCCCACCCTCCACACTGGCTCCTTCCTCATCTCAGAGAGGGGTGAGGGTTGGGGTAGCCTGGAGGCTACGGTGCTGGCACTGCAGGGGCTGTGTGTGGCCTTTGTGGCACCCGTGGGCCAGGCTGGCGTCTAACCTGGCAGCCACAGCCTTCAGGTGTGCCCCCTAAGCATGCACACTCACCTGCCTCGGGGGCCTTGGCTGGGCTGCTGGCTCCCTCAGCACACCCAGCCTCCCCCAAGCTCCGCCCTTCACTGCCATTCACTGCCACTCAGATCAGAAAATGGACCCTCCACTGGTCCGGCTCTTGGGTTCTTGCCCTACAGGAGCTCTATCTACCATCCTGCAGCATGGGCCTGTGAGGGCAGGATCCCCCACAGGGTCAGATCCAAGGTAGGAGGCAGGAGCCCACCCCTTTGGCTGAATCCACACAGCACCTGCAAGGGAGGAGGGGCTATTGTCCACTTGTGGGTCCTTCTGAGGACCAGCAGAGGGTCCCAGAGCTTGCCCCTCAGAGAGCGAGTGCCCTCAGGTCAGGCTGTAGTGGGTTTCCAGACCTATGGCCTGTGCTGGGTCTGGGAGGGGAGGGGTGGGACTGATGGAGGGTCTTTTGGGTCTAGGTGATGATCATGGCAAGATGTGGTTCTGAGGCAGTCCTGACTCCATGGACAGAGACTGAGGTCTCTGGTGGCCTCTCTAGTGGGCCCCCAGCCCCTCATGCAAGCCTCCAGGCCAGTCCTCCTCATATGCTCTGGTCTGTGTGCCCAGCGGGTCCCTGGCCTGGGGAGTCAGCCTTGGGGAGGGCCCCCCCCCAGCTCCAGAGTCTTGATCTAAAGACCTTGAGTCTCCCCAAACTCGGAGCAGCATGCACTCACACTTCTTCAGAAAGAGGCGGTGTGTGTGTCCTGTCAACAGCTCCTCAAGCTCTGATGGTGGGCTTTGGAGCCCACAGGCAGGTGTGGCCCAGGCCAGCAAGTCCATGAGCAGCAGGGCTGAGGACACCCCTACGCATGGCAGGGAGAGGCCAGCAGCAGTGGGCTCAATGGGGGTGGAGGTGCTGGGCCTTATCCTGTTGCCCCACTGACCAGAGAGTCAGGTCGTGTCCCTTGGCCTCCCATCACCCTTCAAGGTGTCTGGGGCTCAGGCCCCTGTGCTGTGGACATCTCCATGTGTTGGGCTGTCCGGCTAAGAGGGGCAGCCTTGCGCCAGAGCCAGGTGCCTCTTCAAGTTCCTGTCCTCCCCACGCAGCTGTTTCCTGAGGTGGAGGGCAGGGCAGATTCTACCGGAGGATCCCTGCCGGCCCCCTGGCCCTGGAACCACTGGCCCCATAGGTCACCCTGTCCTGCTGGTGGGAGGGGCTGCACTGTTGCCATGGTGATTGGAGCCAGGCTGGTCTCCGGGACAACGAAGGAGGAGGGGGTAGACAGAAGACGGCCTGGATCACCCACAGTCTGTGTCTCACACACGCATGCACACTCTCACACTCATGAGCACACCCACAGAGCTGGGCATCATCACAGCTGGGGAATGAAGGAGGGCACATACTGGGGGAGTGCTCCCCAACACTCCCCCGGACCCCCAGGCCTCCTGGCTTCCTGGGGCTCAGTCCTGCCCCGGCCTCTTCATATCCCTGAACCTAGGCCAGGCCTGCAGGATCCCTCATCTCCCCCCATCCGTCACCCAGGCCCATGGTTCTGTGCCGTTCCCCCGCGCCCCCCCACTCTGCTCCCAGCTTCAGCCAGGCCAGTCTTCCCGGCTCCCAGCCACCATTACTGTGCAGCCGCCCCTGCCCGCAGAGCTGGCCGTCAGGTAAGGCCCAGTGACTTGGCCACAGTCACAGCCCTCCCCTCAGCCCCTCCGGCCCCCACGCCCACTGCAGGAACCCTTGGCCTTCCCGGGGCTGTCCCGTCCCCAGCCAGTGCACCTGGCTTGCTGTCTCCCAGACACCCACTCGCGCCCCGGCCCCCAGCTGGGCCCTGAGAGCTCTGTGACTGGCCCAGCCTGCGAGCAGCACAGCAAGGCTGCCCCTCCTCCAGCGCCCGCACACAGCTGCAGCCTGGTGAGGCAGGGAGGGCCTCCCCTCTGGCCTCCACTCGCCTCAGGTCCGTGTGGCCTCTCCCCCGCTGGGGAAGGGAGCCAGCAGAACTGGGCCAGGGTTTTGCAACATTTCCCAAAGGCAGCCCAGGGTAAGGCCTGGGCTGGGGTGGGGTGAAAACCAGTGGAAGCCAGCGGGCAGTGGTGGCCTGCGTGAACTCTGGCCTCCCTGCCCAGGAGACCCCAGCCTGGCCTGACCCTTAGTCAAGGCCAGGCTGCCTTCAAGAGCTTGACACCGCACCTACTGAAGAGTGTTTATCCCACAAGCCACTGAGGCCTGGTGACGGCTCACTGCGCTCTTGGCCAAGGAGATCCTGAAAAACCAAAGAAGCCCAGGGAGTGTCCAGGCCTAACCTGGAGAGAGACCAGGTCCCCAGGAGAGCTGACCCAAGTGCAGCCGGACTGGAGACCCCAAAGCCAGGCTTGGCGGTGGTGGCCATGGGAACAGTGAGCCTCCACGGCAGGAGTCCTCTCCTCACACAGACCCTCTGGCCTGGGATTTGGATCGGGCTGCCCCCGGGGTACGCAGTGTGCACCGAACCAGCTTCCCGGACACTGAGCTGGGGCTTCACACCTCTTGGCCTTCCCTTCCTGCCCCCTGCCCCAATTCCTTCCCCCGCAGGGCCTTCTCCTCTGACCCAAGCTGAGTAGCCTCAGCCCAGCCCCCACCCACCAGTCAGGCCACGTCCCTGCTCTGCCAGAACCATGGGCACGTCCCCAACCTCTCCTAGCCTGGGTCTCCCCGTCTCTGGGGACTCTGACCACCCTTGCGTGGGCCCGGGAGGAGGGTCCAGGGGGACGTGTGGGAGGGGTTTTCCGTGGCACACGATAGCCCTCTCACGGCTACTGTCCTGGGCACAAGCCCCGCGTGCCATTGAGAGTCCAGGATTTTCCTGGGACGGGGAGGCCCGGTACACCCTGGCAGCTCCACCCCCACCAAGCTGAGACCCTCAAGGCCAAGGAGCCCAGGTGGATGGGACTGGGGAGGGCAGCTCCCCGACGCCCCTCCTGTGTGCCCTGGAGGCCCGTCCACAGGGGCCAGGGTGGTAGTGCGGCCCTCTCCGGGGACTCCACACCCTGCCACAGCCTCTCAGAATCTAGCCACGGAGAGTCCAACAGCCTCTGTGGATGGTGCCCAGGCTGGACAGGCTCCTCGCCCCCGCTCTGCTCCAACCTCCAGCATGCAGATGAGGAAGAGATGCAGAAGGGGCCACGAGGGGGATCCCCGAGGAGCCGGAAGCTGGCTGCGCCTGTGTTTGCCTCTGATTCGCATGCAGCTCTCACTGGCCCCAGTCCAGGAGGTGTGCAGGCAGCGGGTCCCACGTGGGGGCCTCCTGGAGGAGGAGGCCCAGCTCAGCTGAGTCTCCAAGGCTGACTGAGAACAGAGGGAGGGTGTGGGGGGCTCTCAGCACCTGTGACTAACAGGGTGCAGGCTGGGGCAACAGCAGGGCCAAGGGTTGGACCAGACTTGTGCCGTTTGGAGCCAGTTGGGAGGTCTCTCTAGAGGCGAAGGGGCTGGTGTCCTGAGTCCTGGAGGGATTCGGGGGC